CGAAAGCAGCTTGCTATTCCGGCTAAATTAAAGAACAATATGATATCACTGAAACTATGTTTGTAAGTCTAATAAAAAATAATAGTGAGCAACACATATACTACATGTACTGTATGTATGTGTTGCTCACTATTATTTCTTATTGGACTTATAAACTTAGTTTCAATGATGCCGTATTATTCTTTCATTTGGCCGGAATAGCGAGCTGCTTTCGATCTGTACACGTAAGTCATTTAATTTGCATATTATACAAATGTTTCCGCGAACTGACAGTTTTTAGGTTAGGAAGGTGCAAAAGTGCAGAGTCACTCCAGCATCCCCTTAAGGAGTCGGACCTTATTCAAATACCAAGGCTCGCGTAACTAGAATCTGTGTTCAGCACTTCACTACGCAATTAAGTAGTCATTTGATCTGTTTCTAACTATGTGTCGGATGGTACAAAGTTAAAAGTCAATGTACAACACGACAACCGGTTTCATGCGAGAGTACGTTACGCGTCGTCTACAATGCGTGGAGTACAAGCCTGGAGTAAGAAGTAGGAGTAAGGAAATAAATCAATTTTATTTCTTACCACTACTTCTTACGCTTACTCTCTGCGAATTAAAGCGCCGTCCGTGAGTACTGTGAGTAATGAAAAGTGATCGATAAAATGCGATAGACATACTCGTTAGGGTTGGCGTTGTTGTATTTGGCGGCGAGACTCCTCATGAAATCACTATAGTTTCGCCCCATCTGCTCCATGTGCTTGAGATGATGGGGTGGACCCTCGGGTCCCCCCAAGGGCGTAGCATTTGGCGGCGTACCCGGGTGACTCGACGAAGAAGGCGTCACGCTCCTCGACGACGTCGAATTGTTGTCAGGTGTGAGTCGTTCCGTTTTAACCTGCAACGTGATAGGATTGCCCTTCTTTAAACGAGACCTCACCGCGCGCAACCGGATGCAATAACAAGAAGGAGAATGCGGGGCAATTAGCCGACAATAAAAAGAACGAGTAAACGGAAGTATTAATTTTCAGCAAGCGAGAGCGGCGGGTGTGATAAAAGTATGTCTAACAGTGCCTCGTTTAACGCCAGAAAGGACAAATTAATAACACTTTCGTGTTCGAGTTAAAAAAATTTGATTTACATATAATTTTTTATTATAATTAAACTATTATTTATTTTGGGATATATACTTTTTCATGGGGGGGAAAAACATTCTGTCATCTTTCATCGTAAGAAGTATCCCGCTATAAATTTCATTAATCGTCTACTGAAACTTTAATTGTTGCGTTCGCGTATATTATTTATTAGACGAGGAGTAGAATTAGTAATATTCGAGAATGTTAAATGTCTTCGTGTAAAGTCGCCTTCAGTACCGTCTGCGAACGGCTTATTTCCTCTTATCCACAGTAACGATAATTTTACTATCTTTATTACCGCCGTGCTTCATGTTTGAACGTTGAAGGCCGCAGTACAATGCATCTTTAAAAGAAAAGAAACGTTTTAGCCTCTCATCGACATTCTTCTCCGCTTGGAACTAAAAAGATTGTTTCTTTTTGTTTGAAAAGATGAATTCAGATTGACCAATCGAAAAATAGCACAGGTGAGCTCTCTCAAGTTGGCAGGACCAAATTCAGCAAGATCCAGGCTCGACTAATTAGCATTAACGAACGAGTTTCATTCGTGTGTACAAAAAAAAATTGTTCTCCGCGGGACCGATATCAACCGATAAACCACGCCTTCGACCGGGAGAAAGGCTTATCGGCAGCTGGTGCGCACACGGATACGTCTCGGGCGAGATCCGCGGCGGCAGGAAATATTCCCGGGTGCATTAATTCCCGGGAACAGATTGCATCTGAGATATGGTAATGAAGGCAACGCGTGGCGTAAGAGTTGACTCCTCTTCGTTCGCGGCGAGAGAGCGCGCCGTGACACTAAGAAGAACGAGAGTCGATTGGCGTAGAATAGGGTTCCCGAGAGCGCAGCCCGGAGACCGCAGCGCGCAGGCCACGGTAAATCTCTTTCTCGCCTCCAGACCTCTTCCTGACAAGGGACCGCTTCGGGCTCACGGCGCGGGCACGATCCCGTATATATACCTACATTTCGAATGGTTCTCACTCGACGATACGCGACCGATACGTGCGACCAGGCTTCGATAGTGAAACTACACGAGGGCGTGACAACCACGCGAGCAAGAGAGCCTCGAAATTAAACCAATCGTTTCTTTCAGCGTGGTTAAGTCTTCCCTCGATCGCAGTGGTCGCCAAGATAGCGATGCAAGCCGTTACCAAGTAAATAATTAACGTATACGCTACACATTAATATTTTGCAGTCAAATGCGGTCGGCGTTTCTCTCCCTCGCATAAAGAAACAACAATACTTTACGCGAAAAATTGAATTACATAAAATACATGACGTTCTCTCGTTGCACTGTAAAAATTCGTCATTTCTCTCATTCCTCATCTCTTGCAATAATTCTAAACGAGAAGAGGACTACACTTTTATTCATCGACTCTCTCAACTCGTCTCCAGTGGATTCCCGATGCCGAAAGTTAATAAGTCAGGATAAAACTCGCCGCGCGTACGGAAGATTAATTTCTCGAGTTATTACTACTATTCTTCGGAGATCTTCGTATTCGTACGGCCTGAGGACCCGAACCACGAAAAATTCTCGCGCGTCACGGACCGGCTATTCTTTTCACCGATGGTAATCAATTTTTTCTCCTCGCAGCTCTAAACATCGCTAAGCAGCCATCAAAGACTTCTCTCTCTCTCTACTTTTTTTTTCCTTTCTTTTTTCGGTCAAGTCATTTACAGAAGCGTCCTGCGGGTCGACGAATGTCAACGGCGGGATGACACTGCGGCTTTCGAGGCGGTTGACATAGTTGCTGCATGGCTGGCTTTGAACGGGACTCTCGGTGTACACGTGTACCAGCTACCGCTCGAGCTACAGGAGCGATGGACTCTCTCGTCGAGGATATCTCCCGAGACCGGCGCACGTGTCCCGAAGTGGTACGCGAACGCTCAAACACTCCACTTCACGGAAGAAGCCAAGCGGGTCTCTCTCTCTCTCACTCTCGAAAAATTTGTACGACAAATCCCGCGTCCTCGCGGCAGCTCGCGTCCTTCTCAACGAAGGAGAAAAAGAACAAATAAAAATTCCGGACGACGTTCGGTCACGCTACGTCAATACGGTAAGGCGAACGTCGTGTTTGCCTACGTGCGCAGAAGTTTCGTGTACCGTGTCAAAATTTTATCCCGTAGAACTTTTTCGAAACCGGTCAATGAGAGGCAAAGGGGGCGAACACGATTTCAAGTGCAGATATTTGAAACGTATCAATCATACAATAACAAAACGAAACGTTGCACTTACTTGGGCAGTGTCGAGACCATTCTGGTTCTGTCGCCTCCTACCCCGCGGAGGTCTGGGGGTTGCCGCACCGGACAGATGGGCGCCCTGAGGGCTTCCCCCCCTGGCGTCGACCGCTGTGTTCGCTGCCAGGGTGGCCCCGTCGTTGTTTTCCGTGTGCGTACCTAAATCCGCCGCCTCTCCACGGTCGCCACCACGTGGTCCCGTGCCCGCGGACACGTTCTCGCCCGACACCTCACCTGAAAACGAAACACGAGGGGATATCTCAAATTTCGGTCCGCTTCCAAAGGGTATTAAGGGGGGGAGCACGAGTTTCCGGATCTTCGTCCCTAATACGTCCCGCTCGATCTTATCGGATGATACGCGAAGGATTAAGCCACACGTCTACGAGACGCGGTGACGATTTTAAGAAGCCATTAAGAGACCTCGAACGACCGAGCGACGATCCTCCCCGTGCCAGAATATACATTCGACTCTAAATTCGGATCTTTGACGAGAAGATAAATTCGCCGTATTTCAACCGCCATTCGTCCCCTCTCGTGACGACGGTCCTCGCGCTTCATGTCGTAAAGCTTTTAAGCTAACGTCGCGCGGCGTAAACGGCGTCTTTCGACACTGGGAATTTTAGAATTAAAGACATTAAGAAGCTAAGGGGGATAATCATATAGGACGCGATTACACACAGTGGCGGCGCTTGCCACTGCCACGGGAGATTTACGCTCAATAAATGGCCTCGTCCTGGCGCCATTATCTTCTGCCTTGATCAGAGACGCGTATCTGCCGACGAGAAGCGACCGAAAAGCGGCGTAAAGCTGCGGAGAACCGACGGGAGAATCGAGAGGTGGGGCGGGGGAGGGGGGGAAGGGGGGTCACTGTCCACCGCGGCTACCCAACATATCCAATAAATTCTTGTCATCGTTAAACGCCTGGAATTTTATGGAGGCAGTAACTCGTCCGCGTGTCGCCGAATTCACCGGCCGATACGATCGGCCGCGATTAATGCAGCGACGGTGCCAGCAACGGTGTCAGCAACGGTGTCAGCAACGATGCCGGAAGAGAGATGCGAGAACTTTGCGTTTCATTTCGCACATATCCCGCGCGATCGGGTATTTTCATTACAACGCCTCTCCCTCGCGATTAGAATCCCAACGCGACGATCTCGTCGGCCAACAATTATTTCTCGCGTGATTAGAATAAACTTTCACCATCTTCCACGGCGTGCACGAGACTTTCAGTCGAGGGGGGGAACCGCTGAGGGCATTGTCGTGTACAGATTTGCGGCATCACTGGGCACTTTTTGGGCATTAGTTTGGGCATTATATAGATAAAATAAGATAATAAAATTAAGTCGAAAAATCGACGCGTAGACAACATCATATCACGGAAAAAACTGATTTAGTTGATTCAACAAATCTATAGTTTGCTGAACAAAATTAAACGTTTTAAAGAAGTAAATTTGCTAATGCAGCAAAGAAGTCGTGTGTAAGAGCAATCGTTACTTTGTTCATAAAACAAATCGATTTTTGCTGAAATTATCTTAGTTACTGCAACAAATCATTTTCGCTAACAATAAGTGCGAGACGTAGCTAGCACCAGCCTCTGAGTAGTTCGCCGACCGCCGCTAGGCCGCGCATGGTGTCGGCCAAAAACTCGGAATCAAAATTCAGTCTCGTAGGGTATAAAGGGAGGCGTGGAAGCCAGGACAAGTATCGCATATTGCGATCGCCACAATAATAATTGTAGAGTAAATGTTTTAATGAGCATTACTTTACCTAATTTTAATTGTTGGCGTAACTAATAATTTTGCTATAATAGGATTTATTAATACACCTAATTTTCTTTTATGTAACAGCAAAAAAGTTAGTTACATGTACCAAGCTATTTTTTCCATTGGTTGTAGTAAAGAATCGTCTTTGCTCTACTAACAAATCTACCATGCTGTAACATCAAATTTTATTAGATATAATTACTAATCCTATGCAGCTTTGCGATTTGATTACTGCAACATAGCAAACTGGCTGTCCGTATATTACGGCGGTAAATTTGCTAGACTAGCAGGGTTTTTGATTGTCATAGCAAATCTTTTTTTTCCGTGATGCCTCGGTGGTTGAATCGGTGAGACGCCCGCCTAGAGTGTAGGGAGGTCCGAGTTCAAACCCTGGCTGAGGTAATACTTTTCGCAAGAAATCTTCTGCACTGACAGAGAAATTAACAAATGTGGCCAGCTGTGGTCGAATAAATATGGAATTTTGGTATTACACTGGCAATTTGAAGAAACTAATCTTTAAGAAAATGAAGTAATTGGTGTACAAGATTTTGGTCAGCGGTACCCCCCGCGCTTTCAGTTGGGTCCGAGTATCCGCGATAATGGAGAACGAGTGCTAATCGTTCCCACACAAATGCCCCCGCAGTAAAACCGACGGCATCGGAAGTACGCAAACGGACAGTGCGATCATTTTTATAATGCGTGGAGTTAGCACCTCCAGCGGGCACCGCTCGGCTGCTATCGGGCCTGTATCCTGCAATCCGGTTGTGGAAGCGGCTCCGCGGCGTCGAGTGGGATACAGGCCGAGGGTAGCAATCGTAAAAGCCGCTTCTATGACACTCACTGCCAAATGTCTTCATTATTTCGAGTTAAAATATTTACAGCTGCCCATAAAAATTCCATTAGGCACCGTTTGCTAGTAGGAAAACCGTCGCCCTCCGAGAGACGAGGCGCTCGAAGATGCCTTCGACGTGCCGCGCCATAAATGATGTCCAAATAGTTATAAAATTGGAAAGTATGCGGGCAACAAACATTGTACGCATTCGTTTTCTGACGGATCAGCCGCTAACGAGAAACGGTACAACGATACGTTAAAGCGACACGCTCGGCGAGAGGTTTTCGGCACGCAACTTCATCAGTTTTTAATGAATTTCCATGGTGTCGTCGGATCAGTGATTTGTGGACTGCTAGTGACTTTATAGTACCCTATTAATTATGCAGTATAAAACGGTGGGGATATAAAATATATATGTTGATGAAAAGCGTAACTGGCACTTAATAAATTTGTCGAAATCGTAACGTACTAAGAAACACGAGTCTCAAAAATTTCTCGGATATAAATTTCCGTTTAATAGGAATGCGGAGGCATATACTGAGCACTGCCTCAGCGTCTCTTGACAGACGATTTCCTATAATTTCCGCGTAACAGGATTTTTTCCTCGCGATTTCTCACGCTTTTCGGCGACATTTATGTTGGCAGTAGCGTTTCAATGGCACGTACGACAAATATCGTAACGACACTTCAGCAACTTCCAAGGCAGGGAGTCGCTGTTTACAGATCGTTCGCGTTTTATTGTCTAACTTCGGCTTGACGACATTTACATAATCATGCGAAAAATGCTGTGCAGCTGCATCGTTCACGAAATTAGTTAAAAACCGAACTGAGAGACGCAGACACGCACAAGAAAAGCGCCACTTCGTAATCACGCGATTTTGTCAGAAGCAAACTTAAATATATTATAAAACAATATGCTAAAGTTAGCAGTGCAATGAGCATTTTCTGCAAAAGTCGGACCATTGAATTATTTTGTGAAGTAACAAAGAGTATAAGGCCAATAATAATACAAGTAATTAATTGTCAATAAAACATGAAAAATTCAGTTTTAAAAGAGTTTAAGTCACTCATATTACAATGTTTAGCATTATACAATTTTACAGTTACCTAACTTGTAACGATAACACAAATGGTTACGCATTTCTGGTATCTATGATTAGCTAATTATCTATGAACGTTTCAACTCTACTTAGTCATGTCTCAGTCCTCAGCGTGTCATTGTCCCTACAACAATATATCACTAGATTTACTTATATAAAATGATTTTTTAAGATTACAGATATTTTAACACACGTGAAGAGTGAAATATTATTATAATGTTACTTGTAATATGTGAGCGAGGTTCCTTGTTCAAGTATCATCCAACAATCATCGGTGGTTATTATGTTATGAATTATTTAAATCATCAAACGCGAGTTGAGAAGATGAAGGGTTTCGTTTCAAGAGGCTCGAATTAACATTTATCTCGTTTTTTTTCCTTTTTGAAACTGGCGTCAATATAGGCATTTCTAACCGCATTGTACCGTGCCTGACGTCTGAAAATTTTACAGCCGAGTAGTTCGCAATAAATAATACGCTTTGAAGAGTGGGCCAGAAGGAGTTTGCTGCATGCGAACGAGGGAGGTTAGCAGCAGCGAAATACCTACAGTGAATACTGAGAACTACGCAAGGTCCGAGTGTGAAATATCGTAACGACGTGTTAAAACGAACTAACGTGCAGCGCACGTATCTCCCGCGATAACACCCGCTCCGTGAGGCCCGCGCACTTCGAGGTATTCACCGGTACGTAAGCGCGAGGCCTGCACCGCGACACCTGGACGTCCGGGTGACAGTACGACTGAGCGGTTCAAAGTCCAAAAGATCGCAGACAAAATGCAAAATTCCCTTTTCTATTCGTCACGTTAGTACTTTTAATTCCACGCGGCGCACAGTCAGCAGAAGAAATACGGAAAGTGTAACGTGGAAAACGTGCGTGGGAAAGAAAGCGATGACAAGCCGTTGTTGCCTTGGCACGCAAAAACGGTAGCTCGCGTCTGCGATTTCATCCGATATATCGCGTATCCCGAGACACGCGTGTAATTTACCGGTTTTAGCCGAAGCGCTGCCTGGTTAACTATTTCGTTCCCGAGCGAGACAGGTTTCCGCGAGAAAGAAAGCCATCGGAAGACATCGGGATGGGACACCAGGAACTCATAGCAATCGCGCACAGTATAGTCATAAATTATCCAGCGCGACCGCGACTAAAACGAATTGACCCTCGAGGTCGCGCGCGAGGTGCCGCCGCGACGGGAATCAAGCCGGCGGCCCTCTCCGCCGGGTCGCTGTTAATTATTCCTGCGCGTTAAGACTTAAAGAAATTTCACCGAGCTGGGAATTTTTCCACGATCCCACGGGCGAGATTAGAGGCGAACCGGGAAATTGCGTAACGCGCCGCGCGATATGTGGATCGATCCAGCATCCATTTCCGACACAGCGGAAAGTGACAATGCGACGCTTCCGTGCGAAAGCATTGTTCGACGAGTGACCTAAAGATCCGTCAGCGAGTTCTCATACGCGTGAATACGCGTGGACTGGCGCATTTTGACACGGGCAAGTCGAAATGCGGACGAAAAAAAACCGACTGGCGACAGTGCGCTAAA